AATATGTATTGTTCCCTAGAGGAATCATCAGAAAAAGAAAACGCATGTTTTCTCCTAGGATAAAATAGAAAATTAATTGGAAAACGATGAGTTCATAATTTAAAATAAGCTTAACACTGGGAGAAAATCATGATATGTAATTTTCATATTTGTTGATTATGTCTTCTAAGCTTGAATACCAGTTATCACTATTAGAAGAGTTCATGCTCTTATGCACTGACTTGTTCAGCTTATGTTTGTGTTTTCATCTGGCTGGTTTATATGCAATGATGTGAGCTATAATAATCATTTTTATGTGTTATCTTCTTTCTCTTTACTTGCTTCAAACTCGTCATCAGTTGCCTTTTGAATTCCACATTAAGATTTTGAAAGAAATACTCCAACAAAGAAATGAATTGCATTTTTGTCATAGTGATTCTGCTGCATGGATTACAAGCACTCTATCTCTATGCTTGGATAAACTCCATCAAAAGCACATTATCCTCCTACTTCTGTGGCCAGCTGCCTAATTATATCTGCTGTAACCACACGCTGTTGGAACATGATACCAATGAAGAACAGAAATGATAAATTACTCCCTGCAGGTGATAGTGATAATGATAATTTTTAATTTTCTTCTTTGGAAGGTCTAGTCTGTTCTTATTTCATTGGTTGCTGCTTTGTTACATACACACATGGCATGTGCTCTTTAAAGAAATATTTATACCAAAATACACAGAAATTCATTTTTATTCCAAGTCATTGTTTTTTTCAAATGAGCATGTGTAAAATGAACTGCATCTACCTTTTCATACATGGGATAAACAAACAAAATGTGGCTTAAAACAGATTTTTCAATGATTGAGTTGACAAATGGTATGATTCATTTTCTTCTCTTTTATGAAATCCACCAAGGTGCATTATGAAGCTGTATTCTAATACTTAGGAATATTTAAGATAAACAATAAAGCTACACAAAAAAATAATTAAGAGACACACAAAAGAATAAAGAAAATTATTTTTCTATGTGTTTCAAAGTAATTGTGGAGAATTCTCACTAAATTACAAGCATGATTAAATTATCTCAGAAATGTACTTATGTGTGTATTTTACTTTTCTGTTTTCTTCTATCATCACTATTATTGTTGTTAATTACCACTTAATCTCCTTCCATCTATAGGACTGCATAAGTAAAATTTTTTTGTAGTTCAATTCAGTGAATATTTAGTTATGACTTTGCCTTTGCAGATAAATCTGCTGCTACAGATACTTGATTTTAATGCTTATACTTTTCCTCAGCAGTTCTCTTCACCCCTGACAAGATATATATGTGGAACAAAAGAGAAATTTATCTTGTGGTCAGGCCTTCTAGCCTATCTGATCTTTTGCAGGCTCATGTCAAGTTGTGCTCCAGTTATATTTCATTGCCTGTTAGTCATTATTTTCAATTTCCTGTGGTTATTGTTTATTCTTATATTTGAATGACTTCCACAGACAGACTATAGCTTCATTGAAATTAACATTGGGAAGACCTAAAGATAGCCTGTCAAAGTGATGGCAAACAAGGTAGTGAAACTGTGATGAAAGATAGTGACACATTTTTGTTCAGCAGCAAAATAGATTGTTTCGTCCTCCAATCAGCAGACATATTTGGTTATAAAGGCTTTGCAGAAATAAAAACAAGAATCATTATTCTACTGGTTTGTGTAACTATTTTGAGGGGTTTTTTTTTTCTTTTTAAAAATCTTAATTATTAAGGATAATTTACATGAAAAAAAAGCCCTCTCCCTTGTAAGTGACTATCTGGAACTTTTGTTTTGAGCGTTAAGTACCCCTTTGAAAACCATAATTCCTCTTAGTTTTTCATGGTAAGAGTCTTCCATTTTCTCACTTACGTGAATGCTATCTCATGAGTAAGTTTTCTGAATGTAATTTTTAATTCTGTATGAATTTTTTTTTTAAGATTTATTTATTTATTTATACAAGCACTGGGTACAGTCAGAAGCGCAGGAGGGTGAGAGAATTCACCAGAGCCAGAGCAGGGAGCAGAGCAGGCAGACTGATGAAACACACTGCTGAGGGGAGCAGTGGGCGCAGCAGGAGAGGTCTGCGAGCCATGTGGGACCCTTGCCTGGCGGCCGGGGATCGAACCTGCACTGCAGAGGCCACAGGCAGCCCTGCAGCCCAGCGCTCAACTGCTGCGCCACCAGGGGAGGCCCTAATTCTGTATGAATTTCTATCTAACTTCTCATGCTTCTGAAAAATGTGTGCATAGGAGCTGGTTTATATATTATTAATATCTATAACCAAACATCACTAGGAAGGAAAATCTCCATGAGGAGTCAAACATACCATGATACATTTGAAAGGGACCTGAAAAAGAAGTGTTCTCTGATGTATCTTTGTCACAGATCCCTGCCAAGTACTCATAAACAAAATTAATTATATCTTTCATTTTCGTTTCTTATTTAATTGCCTTTAGGCTTATTTACCATTTGTTTTTTGGTTACTCCCAGTGTTTCATTCATTGTAGTACTTGAAGGGGTTAAGGGAATGTTGGTTTCGTCTTTGATTATTAGCTGAATTTCATATGGTGAGATTTAGTGATTGGAGAACAGATTCAAAGTTGAATCTTTGTATTCTCAATTTTTTTTTATTTTTTTCAGTATTTTAAATTTTTTTTATTTTTTAATTCCTATTCTCTATACCTATAAATCTGTAATTGTCCTACAATATCAATATTGCTCATCTGTTTTTTTTACCCAGTTAAATATATGATACATAAAAATGTATTTTATATATTTAAGACTGATGATGTTAAGAGCTTTCTTTAAAGCTGAATTTGTTGTTTCTACAGGTTCTGGTAGTGTATAGGATTTTCTTCCCACATTCTTTTTTGGTAACAGGATATAAGGAGCACATAAGATACACACACACACACACACACCATGTAGAATAATTATAAAGTGAACCCCCTGCTATGAAATTCTGCACACTCATCTTTGGGATTGCATGTACTTACATTGAAATCCCCACCAGATTTTGTTACAGCTTTTGCCTTAAACAATCATAACAATTTTAAAGGAATTCAGAGGGGAAAAAGTAGTCTTTTATGTTTGCACAGCTGTTTATCAGTTTCTTTGTTCTGTTATTTTTGATGTTTCAGGTTCCTTCTGGTATTATTTCCCATCAGCCTAAAGAATTCCCTTTTAAATGTCTTGTAAAACAAGTCTGTTGGTAATGAATTTTTTAAGTTTTCCTTCACTTGAAAATGTCTTTATTTTGCCTTCATTCATGAAAGATATTTTTGCTGGATATAGAATTTGGGGTTTGTTTTTTTCCCACTGTGTTTCAATATCTTTTTTTTTTTTTGTCTTTTCTAGGTCTCATGTCACGTGTATATTAGCTTCATAGGTTCCTGAGGCTCCCTGAGTTTTATTTCTATCTTTTCCCCTTGGTTTTTCAAAATGTATAATTTCTATTGTTCTACCTTCAAAATCATTGTTTTTTTTTTTTGTGATGTGTCCAGTCTACAATTCAGCCAGGAGTATTTGGTGTCATTTCCATTCTACAATTTAGCCCAGGAGTTTTTGGTGTCATTTCAAACATAGAATTAGGGGTTCCTTTTCTCTAGTTTTCTCCCCATGTTTGTCCCAGACTCTCCAATTCTGCTGCATTGAAAGATTTTTAGTTCCATCTATATTTTGTCAGTGTTTTAAGAATTTATACTGACTACATAATAGGGCTAGCTATATTTTAAAATTTATCTAAAAATATTAACTAAAATTCATTGAGAATCTGCTATATAGTCAACTTGGACTGGGTAAGCGGAATAGAAATATGAGTTACATGTAAGCTTTGCTCTTAAATTATATTCTGATAAGATAAACTCTGCTCTCATGTGGTAAATATTGTGATAGAATTGTATCTAGTATGCACATTCACTCAGCAAATATTTATTGTATACTATGTACCAGGCAGTGTTCTGGGCACTAAGGATACAGTGGTGAACAAGATTGACATACAGGAATAAATTTAAGAAAACAGTTTAATTAGCCTGTGAAGTGGCAGCAGAAAGCAATTGAAAAAGTTATGTCTTAGAAATGTACTGATTAACTGTATGATTTTCTCTAATAACCTGTCGCTGAGTACTACGTTGCTTTATGATTCTATCTGAGAGAATTATAGGTAGTATTTTCATTCTCTCTTGGTGTCTAAACTATAATGAACCTTAAGGTTAAAAATTGAGTTTGGTTTAGACCCAGTCCATATTAACTCTACAAAAGCAACAGAGTACAGAGTTAGCTTTATAGACTTTATACAATGACAGGTTTTTAAAAAAAAATCTTTCACATCATTGTATATTCCCTGTAAAATTCCCACTACCAATTCACCCGTGAACAATCGAAATAGAAAAAGTCAAACCCATCCCAGAAGTAAAAGCAAAAATTCAGATTTTATTAGCAAAGAATGAAAGTTATATATTCTTCTGAATTTATTAGGTTTTTTCATAGATCTTTTTGTACTATCACAGTAACCTTTAGTTACTTCAGAGTTTCTTCTCTGGGAGAAACACGAATTTTTAAACACATATTTTAAGTGTGGTCTCATGTTGATGCAGCTGTCTGGAGGTTTAACTTAAACAAGTGGGCCCAAGATGGTTTTCCTTACAAGACAATATCTCAGCAGGAGAGTCTGGATTGACTGGGGCTAGCTGTATGTACCCTTCTTTCTCTCTGTGTAGTCTCTCATCTTTCAGTAGTCTATCATGATTATTTTATTCTCTAATAAAACACATATTGATTATTTGATTAGCCTTTTGTACTCTTATTGTATGTTTGTTTGGGGGTAAACCAGATTATGTTTATTTTTGCATATCACATCTTCTCCAGGAAAAATAGTGGCCTGCCATATAAGTTTAAGAAATGTCTGTTTCTTGTTTGCCATGTCTTAAAAAAAATGTATAATTAATAGTTATATCATTTGAGTAATTTAATGATTATATATATATTTTTAAACAGGCAATTGCTGGCTACTTTGATATATATTTTGAGAAGAATTGCCACAACAGGGTGAGTATCATGACTTGTCTTCTAAGAATTAATTATGTGAAATACATTGTATTTCATTTTTGTGCCCCAAGGTGTTTGATCATAAGCATTTTGCTGTTGTAAGCAATTGAAGCTTGTATTTGATATAGTAGATTAATGTACCATGATATTAAAAATCTTGTACTTCATCAAATACTTTTAAATTTTACCAATGCAGGTCATGTTCTCAACGGGCCCCCAGAGTACCAAAACACACTGGAAACAAACAGTATTTCTATTGGAAAAGCCATTTTCAGTAAAAGCAGGTAAGAAAGAAAAGTCAAGGGGGAAAAATGTCTTATTCATACTGAAGTAAGCAATATTCATTCATTCTACAACCACTTCTTATGTGCCCACTGGTTTTGAAGTTATACAATAGGTGTTAAGATGTTCTCAGAGCTGCTATCTACGTAAATTTTAGATGGTATATTATTTTATTAAAATAACTAAAAGACAGTATTTTTATTTCCTAAGTGACTAAAAATAAATATCACTTACAGAGGTAAAATATAAATTAAAGAGAATGTCATTCAGTAGTTATTGTATTCAAAATGTGCTTGTCTAGTAAGTTCTCCATTGTCTCTACCTCATTAAGTCTGGTTCAATTCCACATTTCTTTGTTTTACACTTCATTGGTTGCTCACTTATATGAGCACCTATAGTTCTTAACTCTAAAAATTAGAATTTGATTATGGAAACTTTTTTAAACTGCTTGGTACATGTAAGTCTTCTTATCCCACCTTCACTGACTGTAGGAAAGCTGAATGTATAACAAACATCAATGGAGAGATACTCAGTAACAGTAATATGGAAAGGCTGAAGTATAAAACTCTGTCATCCATCACTAAAGGAAAATAATACATAAAGTTGAACCATGCCAAGTACAGGGAATAAGGTAGACATATGGAATTTTCTTACACTCCTAGTAGTTCTAATTGGTACAAGAACTTGATAGAGCAGCTTGATAACACCCAGTTAAGGACAGGTATATCATCCCTATAATCACACAATTTCTTTTCAGCTATGTATTCTGAACAATCTTTCCCATAGTCTGTGTACAAGAATCTTCACAACAAGGTAAAATAATGTAAAATAATGACCTTGCCTTGTTTTTTAATTCATTTTATTCACAACCTAGTTCTAATAATAATTTTGAAAGTAGTGCTTTAAACATTTGAGCACTTCCAGTATTGTGGGAATAAGACATGAGCATTCCAGAATGAATGAATACTTTTGAAGAAGTTAGAGAAAACTTACTTTCAACTTTAAATTCAGGATGATCATTTTCCTTTTCCTTCTAAAATAATATGCAGTTTTACTGTTCAAACCTGTATGTCAGTGTTTACTTTAAAACTCCAGCTCATCTTCCACATGATTTGGCTTTGAAAATATGATTAAAATCAGAGTTTTACTTCTCTCTCTCTGTATATGTCTACTAAACTTTTATATGATGGAAAATTCATCCTTTTTTATTTCATATTTTAATGCTGAATTTCAATAGTGATAATAATGATTTCCTTTCTTTACCTCTTCCAAGGAAAGGAAATTTCATTGCTCTGGAAGAAATTAATTTTAAAAATCACCAGAACAGAAATGAAATGAAATCAATTTTGTTCTTGATTGAACTGCTACACTGCTTTGTGGTATACTAATAGCCGTCTGCTGGTGATAAAAACAAGGTGATACAGCTCAGCTCTCTAGGAGTGTCCTTTGCAGGACTCACCACAAAGTGCACGCTTAACAACATCAGTCATTTTATATCTATTTGACATTGATTAATTACTCTGATCTACTCTGGGTATCACAGCCACTGCCTTGCCACTTTACTCGGGCTTGAACAATTGAAGGGAGTTCAGCAGAGTAAATTATGTATTTATTACTCTGACCTTTCATGCTATTTAATTAACTTAAGTGAGTGCTGTTTGAAATTAAGATTATTACAGAAATAATTGTTTTGCTTGCATTTCAAGGCATGAAAATTATAGTACCATCTTAAAAAGCAATTAATAAATACTTTTTAATTATTCAGATATTTTGTTTAATTTTGACACCTTCTTTCAAGAAAATTTAGCTAACGTATCCATTACTAGCTCATCTTGGGCTGTATTTCTAAATGGAGGAATGTGTTTAACTCATAGTTAAACCCTTTAAACTAGAAATGAAGAATTTGATAACCTGTTTTATAAGCACCATAGAACATTTCTATTTTGACCCTTATACTAAGGGTCTTACTTAAGTAAGAACTTACTCTTGTTAAATGAAAGAATGGTATTCAATTACAACTTAGCGATCTCTTATTTATTTTTAAAGGCTTTTGGTAAATAAATACAAAATTAAGTGAGAAGTGTTTGTAATCAGAAAAGCACATATAATTCCATTTTAGAATATAATAAAAATTGTAGGTAATCAGTTATTGTCTTGAAACAAGCATAATACATTTTGTGTTCACTGTTTCATGTGAAGTTCTGGTTTTCCATTTAGTGTCAGTAACTTAAAGGCCAATGCCTGTTGTGTGCCTCCATATAATATGGGTTTAAGTTTGCCAAACTAATTTTCACTTCCCCAAAATGCCTTTCCCTGAAGGCCCCCTACACGTTTTTTCTCCCTTAAATGCCATCCACGTGCACTACTTAACCCTGGTTAACCATGATGTTAGTCCTCAGGTTCATTCATTTTTGTGAAACCTTGCCTTTCACTGCTTTCAACCACCCCCATTTTTCACCTCCAGCACATTTTAGGCACATACCTATCGTATGATTGTTGGTGTAACTGTTTCTCTTCCTGTGTTCTTTGAGTGCAGGAACCATGTCCTCATTTCTACTATATGCCCAGGGACAACCTTAGGGCCCCATATTCAGAAGTCCAGGAAAACAACTCTCCCAACAACCCTATATGACTTGACCTCTATACTTTCCCTCATTCCAGGTTTTGGCACCTGTAATATGTGTTAGGACTGTCTTTTTTTTCAAAATGTAAATATAAAATTGCTTTAAAAATTAAATTTATTACTTTAAAAAGGTAAAAAAAAAATAGCAAACCACATGAGCATAAAAGTACGGTGTATCGATTATTACATTTCTAGACTGTATTCTTTGAATTCTTAAACACATTTTCTTCTGCCTTTCTTCTGTAGGTGAAGCTGTGAAAGGAAAGATCACAGTTCACAAGAACAAGAAAGATCCACGTTCTCTTATTGTGACCCTCTTCTTGAATAATTCAACTCAAACTTATGGTCTCCAATGAAAAAGCACAAGATTTTTATGTGGGGACGGGGTGGGGAGGGCTGGAGGGAGAAGTTTTAGGTGACTACATGGATGGATGATGTGTTCTTTCCAATGAGTCTCCTCAAGAGAAGCAGGTAGAGAGGGACCTGATGTAATTCAGCTGAGGAAGGGAACCAGCCGATCCTAGTGGTCCACTTATGTCATTTTTCAAAGTCTGGTCAGTAGATTTAACCAAATGCGAGGTCTTCACTGAGTTTAGCTGTATTGAAAATCATTTGAATTGGCCTAAGTTTAGAACAGGGGTAGTCTTTGTTGGTTTTAATGTTTCTTACTATAAATTTTAAACATAAGTAATTGATTAGTTATTTGAATGATGTTTTGTTAATCTAGTAGCCTCACACAGGTATTATACATTTTATTGCAGATATACTCTCTGAGGGTTAGTGGATTTTAATTGTATTATTGGAATATTAGGATATAATAAAGAACCACTGTAAGAAGCTAAAATATAGAAAAGAGAACATCAGCTTTCTTACACAAATCCTTTGAAGACAATTGTCTAGTAAACCTATAGTTATGATTTTGTAGCTTCTTCCCTCTTTGCAAATATTCTTTAACTGTATCGTTTTCTAGTATTGCCCAGGAAATCTACTTTCAATACATTTATCCTGGGTTTCATAAGTTTTAAAAGATTGCTATAATGTGTTCTTATCTACTAATACAGCTTTTCAAACTAGATTTATGTGCCACATTAAACATGTTACTGTTGATATACTTCATCACTATAAAATTGGAATTTCAGTGGACTCAGTTTGAAATGTAGAATGAAACATATTCAATAAAATGTATGCAACAACCATATAGCCTTTTGAAAAATCAGAAGCATTTAAAATCTTAACATAGAAATCATTTTTAAGAAAACAGGGATTTTAAGAAGTATCACATGCTTCTTTTCAAGTTCATCAGCTGGTTCTTTTTCAAAACAGCGTACACAAGGCAGCATAGCATAGTATTAAGAAGCACGAGTCAGTGCCTGGAATCCAGCTCTGGCTCCAGCTCTTACTTGGTGTGTGTGATCTTAGTCATATTCCTTTACCTCTTTCCCTTCATGTACATGCCAGTTCATTAGTTAATACATTCAAGTACTTAGATCAGTGCCAGCCATAGCAGAAACACTCAATAAATGCTCGGTGGCAGTGGCATCATCATAATACAGTCAAGAACACCTTCCAAAGAATATATCCCATCAGTTTGAGAATGTCAACTTCATCAGAGAGGAATTACAGTGGATCTTGGACTGTGGTTTCACTCAGTGTCATTTCATTAAAATATTGATTAGGGGAAAAAAATTCTGACCTACTTTGAACAAAATGACATTAAAAAAATACCCATTAGAAGGGTTTTCTTTGCCTTTTCAGTAATTTACCTAAAAAGCAAATATTTTGTACTTCATACCTTTACAAGCAGGTCTTTGATTAAGTGAATTTAGTCTTGTTAATACTGAGCTAAGCTTTGCCTAAAACTGTGAAGCTGCTATAAATGCCTTTGAAATCTTTTGTCAGCTTGGTTAAATGAATAATTACATGTTATTTCATAATCATCTGTTACCTCATTTAGTCAGATGTTTTTAAGATCTTTTGCTACTTTAGACAGAGTTTCCCAAATCAAATTGTAAATGAAATCTTGACTTGTTACTATGGGGTGTTTTTCCAGAGGATTCCTAGAACAGCATCCCATAAACTTTGTAATCGTTCCTCTATAAAGAAGAGGTTAAATAAAGTAGGCTTATTTGTGTGTTGAATTGCATGGGAAGCACTATCAATAACTAATATTAAGCCTTTTTAATTTGTATTTATGTGGGCATGAAATATTAATATAAGTGTTATAAAAATTATATGACCTTCCTAAAAGTCTTGATATGTTTTAATATAATATTATTTCTTGACATTCTGGTAATTATTTTAAGATATTGTATGTCACGAAATTAAGCAAATTTCTGTATGTCAATCTCATTATCAGATCTTTAATGGATCATTTTAAAGTGTCTTATTATTTACAGAAATTATTATTTATTCTGTTGCTTTTACCAATATGTTTCATGTTCAGAGAGATTCACAGAAAAGATTTTGACAAATACTATAGACTACAGGTCATAGTAAAAAGGAACTGGGTAAGAATTTCCGAAACTTATTGAAAAGCTGGGCTTAGAACAGAGATTAAATACATGGACTGAATGACCTAATAAAGGTGATCATAACTTTTATTTAAAGTACTGTTAAAACTGATTTGTTTTAACTTAGGAATTAATATGTAATTTCAATTAATGATTTTCATAACATCAAATGTAACATAAGTTTAGCTGCAGGGAGATCATTATGGTATAAATGGAACTTTAAAACAGAAAATAGCCTTTAGATATGAGAAAGTAAATATTTTAATCTTTTTCAAGAATTTATGTATATGAATAAGTGTATACACTCTTCTAATGTTGTACATGCATATGCTCCATTTAATGTACTGACAAATTAATCAAATTAAGATTTAGAAGAATGAGATATTCTTGTTTAAATCTTGCTTAAAAATCTAGTGTTTTTAAAACCATCAATTTGTGTCTAAATTAAGTCATATATACTGTCCATTTTGGACTATTTACTATTGGATTATAGATATTTAGAGTATTGTGTTGGCATAACTTTGGTTTTAAAAATTGGGGTAATAGAAAACTAGATCTTTGTATTTTTGTTTTGATATGCATTTATTTTTTTCTTCTAAGCAATGGTTTATTTTACTATTGAACTGTCATAGTATCCTATTTTAAGTTTATTTACCTAAGCATTATCATCTAACCACTTTCAAAAATAAATTAACTTTTATACAAAGCACATATACTCAGAACTTTAAAATATATGGCAATGCATGCTTAGTAGTACTAATTGATACCAAAACCTTTACTTTGAGACTTAAATAACTTAAATAGCAATAAAATGTTTTAGGTGAGATACAAATAGAAAAATGAACCAGTATCTTCACTGAATAACTGTCCTAATGTTTGTTTCCAGTTTTTTTCCTCATCCTGATGATTTGGAATTATTGAAAATTAAAACTTTTCTGAAGCCATACAGAATTGGAAAACTTGATAAACTGCCGAGAAATCACCACAATGGCCATATGCATGTGTAATTCTTGTGGCTTTGTTATATGACTAGTCAGAAGTACCATTAGAGACACTTAAATTACAAACCCAAGATCTGCCTTCAGTCCATTTGAAGATGCTTAGAGCCTTACCTCTCAAAAATCTCAGCTGACTATTTCAAAACTCAGAAGCAGGGATTATAGTACTTCAATCATTAAGCATTGTTTTTGTTTTGTTTTTTTCATTTCCATAGAAATGCCTCTTATTAAATACCTGACTGCTTATATCAGAAAACTTATGCATCTGCAGCCACTGAACCTAACCTTATAAAAGAAGACATCCTCATCTACTGTAAACAACTAAGTTGGTTAATAGAAAGTAAAATTTAGTCATTTATGCCCACCATAGTGCTTTAACTCTAGAAGACTGAACACTCTACCACGAGATAAAGCCAGGAGACTTTATTTACTGAAAAAGACATCTCCAGCAGAGATGGAGGGGACCCATTGGGTCGTCTTTCCTCAATCTTTGAGCAATTAAATTACAGGGAATGAACTATTGGATCCCTGTCTCTCTCAGTGAAGGCCCCTAGACACAAAATTTCAGAAAAGACATCCAACTGAGGACCTAACCCTCCATCTGACAAAGCAGACGTCTGATGTAGACTACTCAAGACACCATACCAGCCCTCTAGATCATTCTCATGTTATTCAGACTCAACTTGATTCCTTAGCTTTCTTAAAATAGCAGCCTTACTATACCAAGTTATAAGTCTTTGCCTAGTTGCCCTACTGACCTTTGCTTTATTAGGATTGCAAGCATATACTTTAGGAAATTACCCTTAATATGTACTATAATTAGCATTTCAGCCCTGCAGATAGTAGAAATACCTTTAAACATGGACACCCATAATTTTTTATATTATTTATCTTAGTCTATTACTATGTATAACCCCAACTTCTACTTAGAAAAACTACTACATTGGGTTGTTTCACAACCCAATGTAGTTTGAGGAAATTAACCAACTACTGGGTGTCACCTAAATCCTCAATCTGTTTGTGAGCATTATGTGCCCCTAACTGTCCATATAACTAACATTGATTCTATCCTGAATGCCACATTTCTAAAATATTAGAAATGTGCTGTAGTTACTAATACTTGATATATGTGAATTAATTCCTCAGAAGTAGAAACTTGCTTAGAAAAAAACCAGCAAAAGCCCTCATTATCTACAGGAAGTAAGAAAAAAATAGATTCTTTGCATAATTTGTTGGGTTTACTGCCAGGAAACATTGGTTCGTGGTTTTAAATGTTCAGGCTGGACTCCTGCTGTCATTACTTGCCCTTGGCGTAATTTTATTGGCTAAACTTATGTTCTAGACTGTCAGTATGTACTTCTAGACTGTCAGTATGTAAGAATTGTGCTGGCCAGAGCTCCTTGAGGATCCTGTATCCAAAATGTAAACATTTTACTAACTGCCCACCAGGGACCTAGATGGGCCCCCAATAGCAGATGGACCTTCCCTTTGGGAAGCAATAAGAAGTGATCTCCACTGGGCCAATGTGGAGACTGGAGGGAACCAGAGCAGAGGAATCATCCCCATTCTAGCAACAACTGGATCAATCATTGAAAGGACTTTGGCATTTCATGATAAAAGCAGGAAATGTGAAACTTGCTTTGAGTCAAACAGACTCCATTTTTCTTTAATGCCATGTTAAAAGACTTCTAGGTGAAAAATAAACAGATTGACTTAGCATTTCAACTGCAAAAAAACAAGAGATACCTGCTGATTGCAGACCACACTACAGTCTCTGGCAGGAAACTGCCTACCAATCATGGAGATAGATAAAGGAACCAATCTAAAGTATCATTAGCAAATGACTGACACAGATACCTAAAATCACCTATGCCCTCATCAGAACATCATATACCTTGAGACTGATGCTTGGCCACATCCTTGAATCATGACTCCTCGGAGAAACACCTTCCTGACTGTATTACACCCTGATTGTTTCTCTTGGATCAGCATACTATTGCAGTAAGGCTCGTAGAAAGGTATGTAAAGTTTCTGCCCAGCTATCCTCAAAGTTTGTGTATTTTTAATAATTTTGCTTTAAAGTTTGGATGAACTTTTCCAAGCAGAATGATGAATAAGCAAAGTGCTTTTAAAGTGTCTTAGTAATTCACTTATCCTTTCCAATAAAGTGGGGAAAGCCTGCAAAGGAAGCAGTTTTCATATACTGCCTCAACAATTTTGGGTAATGTGGAGCTGTTAGCATTCATTTAACTCTAGATTATAGCTGATTTTACATACACACGAAAAGGTCTATCACAGAATTAGGTACCATTATTTTAAATGAAGCTAAAGCGCAGTAGTCTAACAAGTTAAAGGAGACTGAAATTAAGCAAATTATATTCTGCTAAGTAAAAATTGTCAAATCCTGTCAATATACAAGTGTTCTTTCTGATAAAAATGTTGAATAAAACAAGAAAACTTGAGAAACATTATAACGCCTACATATGCTAAAATAGTGAGAGAGGAAACAAAATAATTTGTAAGGTTCCCTGAATTTTGGGTGACATTTTCCTCTAATAGGTAGAATTACTGTATTGTTTTATAACTTCAATACATTTTAAAATATAATCTTGAAACAAATGTTAATAGCCAAAATAATTTTGCAGTCTTAATAAGAGAAGTGAACCTAATGGGCTACTCCATCAGCTTAAATAGAATGTGGAAGCCCAAGAACTCTGTATACTTCCGGCAGGACACTACTGTCCTTCTCTGCTAATACTTCTAGCCATTAAACCATGTTTTTGGACCATCAGGATTAATCATAATGCTCTTTATCACAATGTAAGTCACCATGAGAAGCCCAGGCCTCCCAATTCATTCTGCATCTTTTATCTCTAGCCCCTGTGTAATTCTTTGTGTCTTCCCCCTTTCTAGCCAAAATCCAAAAGGGTTTTACTCTTCTGAGGACATTGATGCTGCTGCAGACTTCTTAAATGGCTGTACTCTCCTACACCACTTGTCCTCCTAGACTTGGATATGAAGTAGATAACTTCCTTTCTTTGGGTACCCTGAAATCCTACCATCACCACTCCACAACTTCCCCCCAGTGTCTTTAATCTCTTGTCATCAATACTGTGACACCAAACATCTTAATACCTTGTTGTTCCTACCATCTCCCTACCTCCAGATCACTCCCTCTTATTCCTTGAAAACAAACTCCTGACTCACTGTTTGGGCCTCCTGATTGGGCCTCCTCATGGTGCAAGGGGTTAAGCACAGCATTGTGAAGTTGTCTGCAGCGCCTGCAGTTGAAGTTCAATCCCTAGTCGGCCAGGGAGCTACCCACATGGCTCAGCAGACCTCTCCTGTCTTGCCCACTGCTCCCCTCAGCAGTGTATTTCAGTCAGTCTGCCTGTTCTTCACCCCACTCTGTCTCTGGTGAATCCTCTCACCCCCGCACCTCTGGCCTGTCAAGAGATATCTGCTGATTGCAGACCACACTACAGTCTCTGGCAGGAAACTGCCCACCAGTCATGGAGATAGATAAAGGAACCAATCTAAAGTATCTGTAGAAAATGTATGCATAAATAAAAAAAATCTTTAAAAAAAAGTCTCACTGATTGTGAATGGTGACTTTTTGGCTATTGACCACATCCAACCTCATCCAATGTTGTCGCCCTCTTCCTTCCTGCAACCATTCCTGGTCATCCTAGAAGACTGACCATAATCCAGAGCTCTGCTCTTAACTACTGCTTAA